CCCCCCCCCCCCCCCCCCCTCCCGTCGCAACCGCAATTCAAACAGGGTTCTGGGGGTTTGACATTATTACACTAAGATTCGGACGGGGAATGTTATGGACCCTGTTCGCCATGAACATACTCAGGGCTTCCCCAAATCCCGTGCCCGCAAGGAAACTCAGGCTACCGCGACCCAGGGCAAGGAATTGATCTCCTGCTTCCATTGCTGCCACATGTTGACACATTCATATAAAATATATAATCTAATATAATATGATATAATGTAATATAATATATAACATGGTTCGGTCTCCTCTCAGGATTCTTCTGGTTTTGTGCCTCATCCCGTTGACACGCCGGCTTGCAACAGTTCTGTACTTGTCATGTATCCTGAGGGAACTAAAGGCCAACCTTTGGGATTATGTTAGAGGGGATTATACTACCCCAAAAATTGAAAGGTTGCCTGCTCTGCTACCAAGCTCTTCCTGCCACATCTCGATTGTAACCGCTGGGCCGCACAACTACAAGTTGCAAAGCAGCTCGAGTCATCCTGGGTCGTCGAATGCCCTGCGACTGCCAGCGCCAGGACCTGCTTGCATGAGTGTGCAGCTAAGGAGGTGCGGCTCTACAGACCTGATCTCTAAACCTTAACCCTAGTCCCTGAGCCCTTAAAACCCTAGTCCTAAACTTAGCAGCCATGCGTACCGAAATTGCTGAACCCAAGGCCCGGCACGGTTGAAAACTTCTTGAGGTCGGTAGTGTCCCGAGTGGCTTTTTCTAATATGAGGGATCGAAGATGGTCCAAACCATAGACCCGCATTCTGACATCGCCAATCCCGAGAACTTCGTCACGCTGCAACGAACCCTCTGGAAAAACTCAGCAGAACCCCAAAGCCCTGTAAACCTCAAAATGAACCCTAAGCCTTCTTCCTAAACCGGGTTTTCGTCGAAACGTCCCATTTCCGTCTCGCATGATGCGGGAAGCCGTCTAAGGGCTGGGCGCGACTGCCTGACGACGTAAGGTTTCTTCAGGATTTAGATTTACCGGTTTTAGTTTAGACCCTGAACTAAAGGACGCCATCCCCGTGTGCTCGGGCTCCCACTGGCATAGCCAAGTCCTCGTAGGGCGGAGGCCGTTTGACGTGGGAAGGGTCTTTTCAGAAACTTATGTACGGTGAGATATGCCTAGGTAGTGGGTTGAAGTTTTGTGATTCTGGATTCTACATGTGGGCAGCTCTCCAGTGCTTTGGCACCTGCCGTTTAGGGCTTAGGGTTTAGGGTTTTGGGTTTAGGGTTTAGGGTTTTAGGGTTTAGGGTTTAGGGTTTAGGGTTTAGGCTCTAGAGATCAGCCGGCAGTGCATGAGTGACAAGCATCAGCGGCCATCAAAATTGTTCAGCAGCTCCGGGATTCAGGATGCTGCAATAAGAAGAACTTGACTGTATGACTGCTTGCTCTCCTTGCTACTGTTGTGATGGTTATTCTTTTGACGCTATTCACGAGCATTGTTGCCTCTCTGCTCATCTTGATACAGATGATGGAACTGCTTCGGTATTCTGTTAACAACAAAGAAGATGAATCGGAATCGTAACAGGCTCTCCTCCCGCATGAGCTCGGGATCATCAGTCCGGGACAGGCCTCAGAGATACAAGCACTGGGGTTTTGGGGTTAGGGTTTCGGGCTTTCTATTGGTAGAAACTACCAGCCTGAACAAAAACATGACTGCAAGCAGTGTCGCCAATGACTGGTCGAGTCACTGGTTGAGGAACATCCAGGCTTCCTAAACCCTGACGCTGATCCAAGTCAGAATCTGCCGTTCGTGGGAGATTCCCTTATAAGTCCTGGTGCTTCCCACTTGCATGCCCTTAGAATCTAAGACCGCGACCGTCTTGCTGCTCCTGGATACCACCGAAGTCGGAGTCAAGCGCGAAAGCATTGTGTTGGGTGTATGTACACGAAGGAAGAATCGCCAGCGAAGAAGTCCACAGTAGGCTAGCTAGCACGTCATGCCAGCTTTTCCAGAAAGTAACGTGAAAACCTGCGCAGACATGCCTTCACTGCACATGGCTGTCTCTGTCTCCTGTGTCTGTCTCTCCCTCCTTACCTTCCCCCTTTACCGCTCCGACTCTTTCGCTCTTTCGTCGGCGACCCCCACTCGGTCGAAGCAAACGGAGCCTCCTTCGCACAGTTTGTTTCCTCCCCTCCTCCCCTCTCTCTCAGTCGCTTTGTCTTTCTCTTCCTTTCTCGGGCCTCGTTACCAGGATTTGGGCACTTGCATGCCTGCACTCGAAGCTTGTGTATGCAGCAGGGCATTGGCCCCTGCAAAATCAGCTGCTTCCTCCAACTGTTTCTTCTTCTGTGCTTTGCTCGCGACAAGCACAGGAAAGAGGTGTCCCCCCGCACGAAAGATATTTATTCCGACTTGCTCTGTCTCGCCCTCTTCCTCCCTCTTCTCCTTGTCACATGAAATTTGTCTGAACACAACAGCCGGACCTCGCTCCACAGACGGTAGCACACACCAGCCGCAACTCCTTCCATGGAGGCGTGATCCACAGTTTTGCCACACGCTCGTGCGACCACACAGATGTACATGTGTACAGTGGAGTGGACAGCTACGCGAGCAAGAACATGAACAAGTGTGTGTGTGTGTGGGTTGATGTAAGTATGTATGTAATCTCCCACTCGGAAAGCTTCGGATGCTCCCTAAACCTAAACTCTGCCCAAACGAGACCTCTTAGCCCGGAGGGGTTTAGGGTTCAGGTGTTTTGGTTTCTTGGGCCAAACCCTGAACCCTGAGCCCTTGCAGGAAACGTAACAACATCCAGCACTCTACTCCCGCTCGGCTGAGCCCCACGCGGCCGGCTCGTCCTCGCCCTAAGCAAGCACATGGGGGCTGTTCTACGCCCAGTCCCTTGAACGGCTCCTTTAACGGTTTCGGGTATTACGATGCTCTTCTTAAGGGTTCCTAAACGGGTTTGGGGTATTGCAGGGGTTCTACCACCAAAACCGTCTAACCCTAACCTAATATCGGGTGTATAAATAATAAATATAATATTATATGATAAGCATAATATTGTTTTTAGAAATTATATCATATACATAATACTGTTATAAGACTTATGCCTCAGCCTTGTCGTCCTGGTCGAGCGGGCGGACTTCGGGCTGAACTGGTACACTGACATCGAGGCAGAAGAACTGTTCTTAGATATTTTTGTTGTAGAACACTTTAGGGTTTAGGATTTAGGGCTTAGGGTTTAGGATTTAGGGCTTAGGGTTTAGGATTTAGGGCTTAGGATTTAGGGTTCAGGATTTAGGGTTTAGGATTTCGGGCTTGGGATTTAGGGTTTGGGATTTTAGGGTTTGGGATTTTAGGGTTTACCCCAACGACAACCTGCCGGTCTGGCCTGACCCTCGTAGCTTCGTGTATGTCGAACATGGTGCATGTAGCATTTGGGAGTTTCAGAAAATAGGGGACCCTAATATGGGACCCTAAATAGTACCCTTTTTTTCCTGAAGTTACCATTTAGTTCACACCGGGGGCTTAAAGGCGTGCTCAATTACTCAACTCCTTTGCGCCAAGCAATACGCAAACCCTGACATGCAAATGGTGTGAACCCTTCAAAGCCCGAAAGACCTAGCATCACCAAATTCCAAAACCGAGATCCATAATTCACAGCCCCAAAGCCAAAACACTTAAAATAAGAACCCTAAACTCTAACCCTTAACCGTTGAGTCATCTGGGAGTTAGGCTTTGCTCTGCCGCGGCTTTGGAGACGGGGATGGTCCTCGCTCGTGGAATGGTCCAGAGTTTTTTGTTTAAAACTTCTTTTCCACCTGGTTTAGGGTTTAGGGTTAAGTTAGGTCGAACGCCAAAGATGGCTGAGGCACTTGCCCACCCGGTTGCATACCACCGAACCTAAACCCTTAACCAACCATAACAGTATAAACCCTGCAATGTGAGCAAGTCTAGCTACACTGAGCGAGCTCTACATGCAGTAAATTACAATCTCAAACGTTTCAGCATCACCTGTGTCACGGCCAGATGTCACATGCAGCAGCACAGTTGCCCTAGCCTTAGCCCTAGGCCTATCCCGGGCCTACCCCTAGCCTGGCCTAGGCCTAGGCCTAGGCCTAGCCCCAGTAAAGGAACGACATCGCCAGCAGCATCGTAAGCATCCACATCTTCTCAAGCCGGCTGGCCCTCAATCGCTGCACCCTTCCGGAACTTCTGGCCTCTTACACTAGACTCTAGTGCACCCGGTCCGCATCTCGCTCAGCGATGTCGTCGGATCCACTGCCTGGCGAGGCATGTAACTATTGCGGTTTCAGAAGGCATGATGGATGCTACGGCGAGCCCGGAAGTCAGCCTACACTCGGGTTGGTACTTCAGACGCTGACCTACCTTGCTTGCCATGCAACCCCTCTGAAAGAATCACAACACGATCTGGACCGGCAGCCCTCGCAGCAATCTTATCTTCAGCATTGCACTTTTGCCAGCCTCTGGCCAAGGCCTCGTCGAGCTTTGAGTCCGTTCTGCTTAGCACGACTCATTTCCGAATCTGTCGTGCTTGCGGATTGGTACATAGCTAGGGGATTCAGCGTAGCATCGAGTATCGTGGTATGGAGAACTACCTCCAGGCCAGTGGCTAGTTCCGATGCGCTGGCCTTTCTTGGCACAACAGATGCTTACTTCCTGAAACCAGGCACCGTAAGATCGAATTCGCGGAAAACATGTGCTCGAAGAGGCTAAAGCTGCGAAGAGGAAGTTCACAGGTTGTGAGACTGAGTAATTCAACAAGGTTGGAGTTCCTCGCCGCAGCAGAACCCATCACAAGATGCGTTGCCGCACACTGCTGGTGGCCCGCTCTGAACCTGAATGACCTGAGGATGTGCAAGTCGAACTGCTACTGGAACGCACTTCCACTCCTACCATGCAGATGCCCAAACTGCCGCAACTCCGCATGACCGGCAGTCAATTTAGAGATTCGCACTTCTCGGTGCCCCGCGGCTTACTTTCGCAGGGCTTGCAGAACAAACCTCATACCGACAGGCATTGAAACTGCAGTGTTCGGGATGTGAAGTTGTGGGCGTTCTCCAGAGCGGCGCGAGGCAGGAAGGCATTTGCATCAGTAAACATGGAGGACATGCCCCCGCCGCCGGATGGAACTTCACGTGAAACCTGATTCACACTGTCTTGGCACACCCGGGGCTTCGACGCTGCTTGGCTATGATCCAGTCGAAATCCCTGTCGCGGTGGAGACTAAAAGTACTTAAGTCAAGCACTGCAGTACGCTGGATGCTTATGTTTTTTTTGGAGGGGGGGGGCTGCATGCGCAGCTTAGTTCGAGTTCATCTGGCGACTTCATGCTGCCGGAGCTTCCAGCTTATAGTCAGACTTCTGCATCACGATACAGCGATGGTGTTCAAGGGGTCACGGCCGAAAGCCCGTTGATAAAATTAGCTGGCTTGCAGACAAATACACAAGCAAGTCTTGTATAGACGTGCCGTCAACATATAAGATCTGATATCTGATATGTGTAAATTTACATAAATACATCCATCCATCCATCCATCCATACATACATACATACATATACATACAGTCACACACACATACATACATGAATACGACCTACCTCCTACCTACCTACCTACCTACCTACCTACCTACCAACCAACCTAACCTAACCTAACCTAACCTAACCTAACCTAACCTTACCTTACCTACCTACCTACCTTCCTACCTATACATATATGCATATGCACATGCATATGCACATACATACATATGTATATATATATATGTATATACTATCATGGCAACCATCTCAAGCTGCTGAATACACTCAGCTCGCCTTTGGCGTTGATAGGTGACGGCACCTAAGGCAACTCAGAACCTGGAGCTTCCAAGACCCACGAGATGGGATAGCCAATGACGGCCTACAGCAGGCCTAATAGAGAAACCTCATGGGTTCCTTTTGAGGGTACTATAAGGGTTCCTTTAAAGGGTTCTATAAGGGAAGGGTACTATAAGGGTTCCTTTAAAGGGTTCTATAAGGGTACTATAAGGGCTTAGGAGTTATAGGAACCTGGCTACTACTTTGAGACAATGGTACCCGCCCTGGGTAGCACAAGAGCCCGGCTTGGCCTCGCGGCAATACAAGCGGCCTGCAGATGGGTGGAAACAACGGCTGAGGTTCAGCTTTTGAAGTTTTGGCCCTGCGCATTTTCCAAGGTGTGGCTTGTCCCTCCTGCTTCGAAAACCAAGTTGGGGCAGCCACTGCCCGCAGGGAATTCCACTTTGCGGCTTCTGCTTCTGCAGCAAGCCATGTGGCTAGCACGAATAGGGTTTGGGGGGTATGATACTAAGGAACCCCCAAAACCCTATTCTAATTATTCATAAGGTCCTGTATCCCGGCACACTAGCTCGGAATTCCAACTTCCGGGGTTCGGTTTTGCCGGCCTTGCTAATGTAGGAACCTGATTCAGAGACCCTGGTCCTATCACCCCAAAACAGTAGGATCCATGGTAAGAGCCCTAACAGGACCCAAGGTTGACTAATCAGGTTCCCAAAACTCCTAAACCCTTGTAGTACCCCCATAGAACCCATTAAAGGAACCCTTATAGTACCCTTAATAAAGAACCCACAAGGGTTCCTATGTTAGGACTTGTAGAAACAAGTTGGAGGGCTTCAGGATGTAGAGGGTCACCTCAACCCCAAGCCTCACCTCATTGGACTCATCCTTCACGTTGCCATAGGGTTTACGGTGTAGGGTTTGAAGGTTTAGGGCTTAGGATATAAGGGGTTCAGGGTTTAGGGTTCACGGCTTCTGGGGTTGAGGGTTTGGGGTTTAGGGTCTAGGGGTTGAGGGTTTTGTGGTCGCGCACCTTGACCTTACGGGTTGCGCCTGGATCCTCCAGAGCGGAAATCCCTACAAGAAAAGAGTTAGAACCGGAAAGCACAAACCCAGGCAGGCTTCACATGGAAACACAATAGGGAAAGAACAACACTGAACGAAACGAAAGCCAAAAGCAACTGCAGAGAGCTAAGAACACAACAACTATAGAGACGCAAAACCCAAAGGCAAGCAGCCGTAAGCCGGCGATGAGCCTAAAGCAACAACAAAGCAAGACCACTAGCAAGAAACCAGCGAAGCCGGAAGATAAGGGAGTATCCGAAAATTAGGGGTACCTTATTTTGGGGTCCTTATAATAAGGATCCTACTATTTAGGGTACTATATGAGGGTTCCCTATGTTCTGAAATCCCATAAAGCAAACAAGAAAAGAGCAAGGAACCAGGGGGCCGGCTATACTCGCGCCCCATCTGTAATGCCACAGAAACTCTACTATAACATACCATCATATGGTATCATATACCATGTTGTACTTTCATACACTGTGATATACCATAGTATAGGACCATATACTAGAATGTACCTCAATATACTCTCATTTACTCTACCGTAGGTGTTGGCGAGCTAAGCGGGCCAACAACACCAGGTTTGTCCCAAACCCTAAAGCCCTCAATCGTTGAACATCATCATCATCAAACCCTAAACCCTAAACCCTAAACCTAAAACCCTAAATCCCAAACAGTTGAACAGTAGCAACATTCCGGGACTTGACCGCCAGGTCCCGACTTCGCTTAATGCGAGGCGCCCTCGCTGAACCGCTCGTCCATCGACAGGAACTGGCTGGCCTGTGGGGCCCGGCTTGGCCCTAAACCCTTATAGGGGTGTAGGGGTTTAGGGGCTTAGGGTTTGGGGGGTTGAAGAGTTTAGGGGTTCAGGATTTAGGGTTTAGGGGTTTAGGGTTAAAGGTTAAGGAGTTTAGGTTTGGAGGGAGGGCGAAGATAACTTCCGGCACTAATGTTGCAACCACCATTGAACTAGCAAGTAGAACTACCATCAAGGTGTCGTATTGGTTTGCTGTATGTGCTCTCGCAACCAACCCTGCTTTTCGTACCAGCATTGTTACGACTTGTGGCTGCAGCATAGCCATCGGTACCGGAGGTGCAGCTATCCTGGAGATCCTGCAGATGTTTGCTGAGCCCGGTTGTTCATGGCCGCTTCTCCAGCTTGCAACCTGCACAATAGGACCCCCAACGCCAGGAGACGATGCAAAAGCGCCACCTGCCTGCATGTGCCGCAGCTGGATCCACCCATCCTTGGCTGCCCAGCTGCCCTTGATGCTCCAGCAGCTTGTCTTGCTCAATTTGCAATCCTCTAAGCCCATATAGGTCCCCCCTTAAACCATATCATAAATCCATCAACTCAACCATCCCGGGACGGCCGTGCTCCAAAAGCACCAAGCACTTTCATACCCGTCTCCACGTCCTCGCATGTGTGAATACATGTTAAGTTACGTCCAACACCAGACTCGATATGACTCGATGACAGGCTTCAGTTTGTTGCTAACGCATATTTAGTAGTTATACCGATACACGTGTAATATGAGACAGCATACGCAAGACAATGCGGACAGTGTTGCGTTACATGAATGTGTCTGCTTCGACAACCGAACATTCCAATCTGTTCTGCCCAGCGTCTAGAAGCTTGGTAAACTCCCAGACAGACGGCTCTGGAAGCCTCAGAGATGCACAAACGTCGGTCTTTGGGTGGAGCTTATAAAGTGCCGAACATAGGGGATGGATCTTCTGTAAATGCGTGATATACCGATCGATACAGATACATGAACAAATAGGAAGCTAGATGGACAAAAAGATTGATACATGCACAGAGAGACAGAGAGACAGACAGACAGAGACAGCGAGAGAGAGACAGAGAGAGAGAGAGAGAGCGAGAGAGGGAGACAGAGAGGGAGAGAGGGAGACAGAGACAAACCGAGATAGACAGACATGGATAGACATAGAAATATGCAAGTAGATAGATAGACAGATAGACAGATAGATAGATAGATAGATATATAGACAGGTAGATAGATAGATACATAAATAGATAGATGGACAGATGGACATATAGATGAACAGATAGACAGGTAGGTAGATCGACAGACAGATAGACAGATAGGTAGGTACGTAGATTAGCTAGACGAATAGATGTGAAGAGCTCAAGACGTACATGGAAACAGCATGTAATATTAACAATGTGATTATCGCATAGAAGAACTCCTCAGAAACGATTATGCGCTGTGCATCGGTTCGCTTGAGGCTCCGAAGACTGTTCTAGATGCTTGCTTGGAGGATCATGGGACTTAGTAACTAGAATAAGGTAACTATAATTATAACCCCAGTTAGGGTACTTATAACGTTACTTACTTACTTACTAAGTCCCACGA